GCGAAAAACTGCATGATGATTAACTATTAACAAGTGCTGAAACAACTTTGAATTGATTTTCAATTGCTGGCGTGCTTTTATAGGCCTTTACCAAGCTCTGAGAACGAGTAATCCGTTAATAATTAATCCGAAACTGTAGTTAATTTGATCAATATGGACTGTAACTATTTTTTAAGTGCTGCATAAAGCGACCCAAATTCTTTAATCTTGGTGTTTAGTAATTTAATTATCAGAGCAAAGCCAATCAATCTAATCGATAGAATTAGAGATAATATATATATTCTCTACTATATTAGGTAAGTATATAACATATACAGTCGGGTCTCGATAATTCGTACCCCGCTAAATCGAAAAAAAAATTCTATCTCCTTGACAGAAATTCGTTCTCAATAATTCTCAATTTGAGTTTCTGTGTAAATCGATCCCCTGGCCATTTCAAATTATCGGGATTCTACTGTATTTAAACAGACTTGAAATTAATGAATATATCTAATTTGAAAAATCTAAATATAACTTACTTTTTAGCCAACATTTTGCCACACGTGCCACATTCAAATTTCGGCTTGGCTCGCATCGTCGTCGTCGATGTTGTCGTTGTCTTGGGGGCATTTTCTGGATTTTCCCGTTGGCCATGAATGTTGGCCATGTGGCTCTTGAGATTGTGTCGCCTGGCGAACTTGGCCTTGCACTGGTCACACTCGAAGATGCGCTCGTTCGTGTGGTTGCGCAGGTGGGCGCGCAGCGAGTGTTTGCGGAAGCGCTTGGGGCAGCGCGGACACTGCAGCAGCTCGTCCTTGCCAATCGTTGGGCCGCGTATGTGAAAGAAGCGATGATAGAGCAGATCCGATTCGTATTGGGCACTGAAGCCGCACTGATCGCAGGGCCAGTCATTGGCGACCGCGTCCATGGTGGAGGAGATCGAGGTAATGGGCTGGCAGCTGCGCGTGTGCCGCCCCAGGGCCTGGGCCGTCTGGAAGCTGCTGCCGCAGCTGAGGCAGCAGTGGCTCTCCATGGGATGGGCCTCGCTGCGATGCCGAATCAGCGCCTGGGGAGACTCAAAGCTCTGCTGGCAATTGGCGCACTGGCTAATCCACATTCGCCTCCGGCCGGTGCCTGAGCTCGTTGTTGGCTGCTCGGGCTCGGACAGCGGATCGTCCAGCACCTCGCGCAGCATGTGCTCTATTTCGGTCTCCCCCTCTGGCTGCACAGAGCTGCTGCAGGGGCCACCATCCTGGCGAAGCATCGCATTCTGCTTATGGCTCAGTAGACTGCGATGCCGACGCGCAGCCAGCGGCGTCTCGAACTCCAGCTCACACACGGCGCAATAATATTTACTGAGGCGATGCTTGTGCTTCTCGTGGCGCTGCAAAGCCACGCGCGATTTTTGCGGCGCTCCGCAAATGTCACAGCGGAAGCGGCACTGATAGTCATCCGAGGCGCTGCCTGTGGGTGCCACGCCCCCGTGCTCCGAGGCGAAATGGCGTCGCAGCTGGGCGTTGTAGAGGAAGCCGGCCTGGCACACAGAGCAGTTGAGGTGCCGACGCTGGCCAATGCACACGGGCACCGATCGATTGATCGCATGCAGCACCTCCATGTGCCCATTGCCCAGGAGATGCTGCCACATCTCCTCGTTGCTGCCGCACTCGAACTGGCAGTAGCTGCACCAGAAGGTGCCGCCCAGTCGACCGGTCAGCTCGATGTGGTCGGAGGAGCGCCAGTGGGCCTGCAAGGGAAATGTGTTTAGTCGGGTGTGCTGGACCTGGCAGAGTGCGTCATGGATCTCACCTGAAAGGCCTGCTCCGTGTTGGCATAGAAGCGACAGGGCAGACACTGGAACGGCGCCTGCCGCACAATGCTGCCCATGTGCTCCAGGATGGCGTGCAGCGAGGCGCTCTGGCTGCCCAGCTGCGATTTGAGCTGCATGCGCCGATAGTGATAGTGCGAGATCAGGTGCTTGCCGATCAGATGGCGCGCCATGCTGTGCCGGCAGAGCTCGCAGCGCAGCAGACGGGCGCGACGACGACGCCGCTGATGCATTTGCTCCTTCGCCGATGGCGCGGGCGGATGGGCAAAGTTCTTGTTGACCTTCAGATGGGCGGACTGGAGATTGGCCTGCTCCAGCTGGCACTCGGTGTCCGCGCGCCGCTTATGGTAGTTGCTGCGCAGATGCTGATCGTAGATGAGTCGCGTCTTGAGCCGGCGACAGCAGATGTTGCACCAATAGCTGGCGCTCGGCTGCTTCAGCTTGGTCAGGTCAATGTTTTCCCGGTACTCCAGCTGCTTGCTGCCGGGCACCCATTTGCCGTGTGTGTGCTCGGCGGGCGGATGATCGTGGGCGTCCTCGGCCGGCTCATCCCAGCTGGGCGAGATGCGCTCCAGGTGCGTGTGATGCAGCTGTGGCCGCTGCTCCGGCCTCCACTTGCCGCCAGTGTGCGTGGCAGGCACAGTCGGCGGCGAGTGGCGTCGCCCATCGTAATCTTCATCTGGATGGAGCTCGGGATCGAAGTCTGGCTCCTGGTCATTTTCTGCCTCATCATCATCGCCATCCGACTCATCGGGCTCCTCCTCCTCGTCCTCCTCCTCGCTCGCCTCCGGCGAATTGGCAAAGTTCAGCGTCTTGAACACCGGCTCTTCATGCTCCCGCACTGCCTTCAGCAATGGATCGGAGCACCGGCCCGCCGAATGCCAGCTC